CATAAATCGCTTGACCTGCCTACCCTGTTGTTCGGTGAATACTACCTAGCGTTCGGCGGTTCAGATAGATCTCAGATCTTTGGTTTGTGCGCTCAGGAGTTGATGCGGACTGGAGGCATGACGCAGAGCTCTGGCTGAAACTTCGTGATTTTGAGTGGATGAAATCGCTGAAGGATGTGAGAGTCTTGCAGAAAGCATACTTTGAATGGAAAGACATGTCAAACCATTCTGCAGCCACACTGTCGGTGTTGTCTCTTTTATTATGGCACGCCTGAATGGCGGGAGCCCAACTCTCTGCATATGCTGCACAGGAGAAGCACTTACCGCTGTAAGATACTTGATTTGTTTCTTGCTGGGTTGGCAATGGTGCAGAGCTCATCGGAATTTGAAGACCGGCTGTTGAAGCTACGTAATACAGTCGCGTCAATTTTTCAAGTTCAAAATCCGAGGGCTCTCCAGGTGGCCAAGCTTTCCACAGCATCTGATGGAACAATAATTCAACTGACGTAATACAGCACTTGCAAAGCAGACCATTTGAGCTTCTCTGTTACTTCATGGAGATGCCAGTACGCCTTGCTAAACGGTGATTGTAGTAATCTATACATTATGCATGCGTGCATTTTTACATGCCTCCGCCTATAAACAGTGAGCTACAACTATCAACAGATCCTCTTCTACTAGCTTATATCGCATGTTGTCGTTGCTTTCCTGCAGGCCTGCCACTCCAGATAAGCAAGAGCATGCTGAGCACTTAAACAGGTGGCTGCCGGCGGTAGAGAGTGGCAAAGTCAGCCAAATGCTTCCAGGGATAGCTCTGGATTTTTGGTCCATTCGCATCCCCGAAACAGGCACGTTCCTACGTGTTTGGCCCTTGCAGAAAAGCTGTGGGGTCCATAATCTGTAGAGGAATTCAATATTACGGCTGCGGGGCTCACTGCCGCGCCTGTCTTTCTAAGGTGACGGTTCTTGAGAATGCTGAGGAACGGCTCTTATACTGTTTGAAATATTCAAAAATACTTGTTGTTGTATCTTGATGGTCTGTATGTGTTTATATGGGGCCAGCGAGGTCAAATCTGCCTCCCGGTGTCATTTGAGCAGGCAGGCCTCTGCTGCTTCCCGCCTTGACCACGAGTACCACTACTTCCACCCCCAGAACCGTCGTACGCCGTGTAATGGTAGATCCAGATGTGCGCACACAAGAACCTCCAAAAGGTGAATGCTTTAGAAATGCTCTTGATGCCTCCGAGGTTGTCATATAGCAGATACAAGAAGTTCGGTTGGTTCCCCGCTTGCTCAGTACATTAACGTAGCGGGGAATGCAATGCAACTGCTTCACAACTCAACGAAGTGCGACAAGTTGGTGGTTTTTTTCTCAGCAGCTTCCCTTGTCTTCGAAGATGATTCAGGCGACTCGGCACCGGCATCTAAGATTCCTCCAGTATTAAGTACGATCACATAAGGTGAAGGGCCATCGGGATTCTCAGCAGCTTACTCTCTACTCACTATGTAGTTTTGTGTAGCCATGTGAAAAGCTGTTGTCGTCCTCCTGCTTCCGCCTCGGCGTTTCGATCTGGCACACTGCGCTTTTTCACTAGCCACTCACGAAAACAAGTTTAACAACAGTCGTTGTTTTGCTGGATGTTTGGCGGGAATTTTAAATATCAGCGGTTGTGTGTTCTCTGCCTACGTTTAGTTATTGTAGCTGCATTGGCGATCTTAGTCGTCGTCGTAGCCGCGGTTGGCTTGTGCATCTTCTGTTGCCGCCGTGGAGCAAAGTCAAAGTTCAGCGCCTCCGTCACATCTTCGAAACATGTGAGCCGTCTAGTGGTGAATTTGCTTAGCTCCCGGATTGCAGCATTGTGGACTTCTAGAGAGAGTGAATGCTACGAGTTTTGTGCGGGTAATGCAGTCAAAGGAAGGCCCTCTTCCAGTTGCTGTGTCGGCAAAGCCCGGAACTGCCGCCAAGAACCGTTCTGAACAGCCAAATGGCACAAGGCCTCACTCTTCCTCCAGAAATAGAGGATACGCAAATTAGTGGCGCGTGGATTAGCTTCAGGTTAGAAGCTATGCCAGTGGCTCCCACGAAGGCTACGCGCGAGCCTATCAGCGGAGCACTAATCTGTTTTAGTACCTGACGCCCCTAGTGTTGCACCATCACAACTAGAAGACTACTCTAAAGCATACGTCGAGTAGTACACATAATGAAACCATGGATGCAGGGAGTTGTCGCCGTCTTTCTACCACGTGCTGCACTAAAGGGATGACGTTTAAAAGGATCAATGCAAAAAGTGAAGTGCTGCCAAGCACTCATTTCTGGGCACAGACTCAAGCCTTTCGATTGGCCAAGAATTTCAGTGTTGTGGCCAAAGCAAATGAGCACTACATGAGCTGATCGGAAATTCTGAGGTGGGCGTTTCTTGGCGTAAGGGTGCCGCCACTGGCACTTTCATCGTAGGAGCTTGCTGCCAAGAAGCTAACATTTTGTCACATCGCAAGCCCTACATGACCACGTAAAACGCTTCGTCCACACGAATATGCACGCCTCTTTACTTTTTCTAGGGGAGCTTTGCCTGCAAGACGTGGCAAGCCTTTTGAAGTCCAGACATCTGCTGCTCTTTTGCAGACAAGGTACTTGCATTTATTTTACTTCCAGTAAACACCATCGTGCAGCAACACAAATATACACTAGCAGAGTACGACGGGTTTGCCTCTGCTTTAACACCGCGCTGGTACACTGCCTAAATGGGACAGTCTTTTTTGGGAGTGTGGCAACGTGCCACATCTCGACCGAATCTGCACCGTTTATTCCAGCAACTGCGACAAGGCACATGTATGAAGCCTGATCGATGTGTTGCTGATTGAATGCTCCCTAGTACGCCGGTCAGTACTCTGCAGCACATGATGCTTCCGTGATATCACGGAATCTTTGCATGCTTTTTTTTTGTTTCCAGAAGCATTAGGGTATGAATACCGTAAGTTTCCTGTGCAGCGCTACTCCATATCTCCACGCTTTCGTGTAGCTGTTGCTTCAGGAACAACAAGTTATGTATCCAACTGGTAGTCAAGCAGATGGTGGTTCTTTATCTCATTTTTCCGCCATTCAACAGGGCCTGTTCTGTTGCTGTGGTATTTGTGTTTTGCCTGGTAATCATAGTAGCCTGGGTCTCGCTTCGACAAGAGCAATTACCGAGACTTTACCGAGACTTGGGCCAAAGCTGGAATACATCCTCGACTTGACAGTTTGTTTCTGAAGAGCAGCTAAGTTGAGAGTGGCCTTCCTGTAGTGCCCGACAAGTGCTTTGGTAACGTTCTCTTTGCCAGGAAAGGAGATGGCACTGAAAAGGTATCCAGAAAGCCCAGAAAGCCAGCCTATATAGCAGGAGGGTTCACTGGTCTCGTGAGAGCAAAACGTAGAGAAAAGAATCGGTGCATAAAGGCAAATTCTGAGTTGGTGGATGTTTCTACCGAATTCCACATCTGGTTGAGCGGGCAAGCGGGCAGAGTGCTAATTTCTTTGAGAATTCAGGAGGGCTGGAATTTTCTCAGCTGCTTCAAAACTCAGTTCCTTCCGCAAACCAGCTCAGCCACGAAAATGAGCGATCCTTTAATGTCCCGCACAAGTTCTGTGCAGGCGTTGTTCCAAAGTTTGATCCTAGTGGGCTTCGGACAAATCCGTCCAGAAGGTGCAGAACACGAGAGGAGTAAACGGCCTAGTCCGCATCGTTTTGCAAAATCTCGTACGTATTCCAAAAGTCAGAAAGTGCGAGAATAAGGCTTTGCAAAAAAATTTTAAGATGCCTGAGACATGCAATACAATGGCAAGACCGGAAGGCGTCCAAGCAGCCTCTCCATTAGGTAGTGGCACTGTCCACAGACTGATGAGACAAGTGAGCTATTAGTAAAAGTTGCAATTATCTAACTGAGCTTCAGGTCTCAACTTGGATGACGAAAGGTGGAAGTCCGCTTTTGCTAGAGCAAGCCGACTCTACACAGCCTCAAGTGGTAAGGTTGTTTTCAAAAGAGGCTGGTTACTAGCCACACTTTTGAAAGCGACCTAATAGGGATAGCCAGACTCCTTTGACGGCGAGCTTGCTATTTGAGGCTGCGTAGAGTTGGTTTCTCCCATCGCAGCGGCTCACCAACAGTATCGAAAACTGCGCACTGTGGAGCAGTGACACTGGGAATTATGCACATGTTTGTGGTAGCAGTGAAAAACCGACAATCTGTGAGAATAATGTCACAAGATGACGGCATCTGGAGGCTTATGTCGCCGGTGCGAAGTGCTAAGTAGACCACAGCTCTTTCAAGTCGCCGTGTCCAGTGCTGGCCAGTTCAAGTTTGTAGCGAACGGCGAACACGCGACATAATGCGTCTGGTAGCAACGCCAAAGTGAAACAAAATACTCTTCTGTAGTTTGTGATGTTAGAACTATTGTTTCATTTTGAGAGGAGGTCACTACACCTACCTTCGCCCTGAGGCCTCAAGTCGACAGCGCCTGTCTGCACCGCAGTGCTCCTCCCTCAGGTGAAACCTCGGGCGTGCGCATTCCTGCGCATAAAAACTGTTATCTTCTGCAGATTCCATTTTCGTAGACCCTTTAAAATCAGCTCACAAGCGAAAACCTACCGTCCCTCGCCCAAGACCAACAGCTGGTCCTCCACCACATGCAGAAGGGTACTGCAGTGGCTGGCGGGTTGGCTGTTGAATTGTAGCCGTGCCGACAATTTTTTGCTTCCTTCTGCGTAAGCTTGAACCTGAAGGGCTTCGGCTTTCGCGTCCCAGGAGGGTAATTGTAGCAGCAGCGCATGTTTCGGGTGCGACGGCTCTTCGCGTGTTCTTTCACACTACACGGAGACTTGTATTGGTTTAGACTGCACCTGAATTTTCAGCAGCGCCAGATGTGTCACTAGGAGTATCTTCTTTTGCTCTTTGACACCTCAGCGAACGCGCCGCGTCTAGCTACTGCTGCATCGGCAGGCCACTCCCGGCCGCTGCAGGCTATGATGAATGGGCCAGTGCACGAAGTGGCTCTCCCCGCGGGGGCTGCAGTCTTGCCCGCAATATCTCCTGCAGTGGAAGCTGTTGAGGCTGCTGCTGCGAGGGGAAAGCCCCCGCGCCTCCACTCCCCGTGGGAGTCCGCAGTAGACGTAGCTGCTTCCACCTGCGTTTCGGGCTCCGAGGGGTCTGTGCCCTTCAGCTCGCAGCAGCAGCAGGAGCAGCAGCAGAAGCTGCAGCTTGAGGCGCAGTCTCCAGTCCACTTCACGGAGGAGCCCGAACGCCTCACCACCCCGAGCTCGGACGACACGGCGCCGGAAAACAATGAGCAGCAGCAGCAGCAGCAGCAGCAACACCCGACGCACATGCAGGAGCAAAATGGCCTTGCGCTTCACGTCATTGCCATTGACAGGCCTCAGGGAACGCAGCAGTCTAACGGGGGCGACAGCAACGATGGCTGCAGGGCCTGCCCTGCGCAGCCATCGTCCGACGCAACATCGAGTGTTGCAGTGCAGCAGCTGCAGCGGGGCAGCAGCGGCAGCAGCTGCTGCAGCAGCGCCTCCATTGGGGGCGAGCTGAGGGGGCTGATCAGCGCGCTTGCCTCTGCAGACTCCGCAGCTGGCAGCGGAGATCTCCGGCAGCTGCTGCAGCAGCTGCTGGCCGAGCGGGACTTGTACAAGGCTGCCTTTGGCGCAGCAAAAGAGGAGCTCAAGGTAAGAAATTCGCAAAGTTGTGCTGCAGTGCCCGCGGCGCTGCTGCAGCTGCTGCTGCTGCAGCTGGCAGCATGTTATGTGTTTCAGCTCTGTTGCTGTGGCCTAGTGGTGATTAATTTCGAACAATAAGGCTCAAAAAGCAAATTGTCAATTAATTGGTTCTGTGTGGTGCGGGTTGTGGGATGCAGGACCTGGAGTGTCGGCAGCAGCAACTGACTCAAGCGCTGCAGCACTCGGAGCATGCGAGGCGTCAAGAGCGCATGCAGCTGCAGCTGGCTTCAGCAGCAGCAGCAGACCAGGCGCCACTTGAAGCCGCAGGGACACAAGACGTGTCGCCTCAGTGGAACAACAACAGCAGCAGCAGCAGCAGCGGGCAGCAGCCCGCCGACTCCAACGGCGTTCCAGCCAGCAGCACCTGCAGCAGCGCAGAGGGACCTTACAACTGGCTGCATCAGCTGCACGCTTGCGTTGCTTCGGGCACATATCCTCGGCCTGACTTGCTGCAGAAGAGTGTGGAGCAGCAGCAGCAGCTCATCCGGCTGGCTGAGGGCTTGCAGCAGGAACGGGAGAGCTACGTAGAGGCTGTCGCTTGCCTCCACTCACAGTGAGTGCATTTCCCTGATCCCGTTCTTTTAATTCTTTTATTACCCTTATTTGGCATCGCTAAGGGCGGCGTTGCTGCTGCAGCGCGAAGTGTACGCATGCAGTTTGCATGCGCGAAGCGCATTTGGTGCACTTGCTCCGTTCATGCAACAAACTGTGGCTTCTGCTGTGCTACACAACATTTTGATTATCCCTTAATTTTCCTCTTTCCCTTTTTGTGTCCGCTTGTCTTTCAGATTGAGAGAAGCGAGAGAAGACGTGTCACTGTACATGTCAGCGCACGCGACGCATGCAGCAGATCTGACAGCCGAGTCCGATGAGGCGCTTAGGGCTGCAGATTTGTGGCTGCAGAACTCGCTGCGAGTCAGCACGAAGTGCAAGTTCTGGGGCCTGGGCACTGTGCTGCACAGCCAGGAGGCAGCAGCTGCGAGCGCGGCGGAGGCATCTACCACACTGGCTGCGGTGCGGGCTTGCAGCAGCGACATTCAGCCCGATACTTACGCTGCTGCTGCTGCTGCTGCGCTGGCCAATGCGGCGGAGCCGATGCCTGGGGTCTCCGTAGCCCTTGCTGCTGCAGCATCTGTCTTTAGCGTGCAAGACGATATTGAGGGAGATGAAGAGGGCTCAGCGGGCGCAGTGACAGTGGGGCCCGGGGTGCCCTCTGTAGCCACAGCAGAGCTCGAGCGGCTTTGGTGGGGGCAGACGGGAAACGCCCTCGTGGAGAGGCAGCAGCTGCGAAGTCAGAATCGCCGGCGCGAGCGCAACAACCGCGTCTTGTGGTTCTTGGAGTAGCTTGCTAGATCATAGAGAAAGCCACGATGGCAGGGGCGCTTTCGCTGCGCTCTGCCTTTGCAAGTGCACATGGAGTGGTCACTGCAGCTTTAGTCCTTTTTAGCACCCACAGAAGTGCTGCATGAGCCAGTTTTTCTAGACTTTGCCGCAGACACTGCTGCGTCGAGGCAGCGCCTGCGGGTAGTTCGTCTTTTTGGTTCATTGGGGCCTGGAAGCAGCTGTGAACACGCCAGACGGCCCGCCAGCACGGGCAGAGGAGGGGGCCAGGGTGCTAGCATGCGGGAGAGGCGCCGCACAATGAAACGAAACGGGACTTCTCGTTTTCAGAATCGAAACACTGTCGTTGGAGGTAAGCAGGGAACCCCAGTTGTGTCTGCTTGGATGGTAAAAGGCTGATAACGGAAGAGCCGCCAATGGGGAAAGGCTGATAATGGAAGAGCCTCCAGTGGCTCAATGCGCTCGTTGGACATCCTCTGCAGAGCAAGTTCATTTTCATTTAGATCGCATCCGAACTTTCCGTCTTTTCACATTACTATCGTTTGGTTTAACGGGACCGTTGTCGTGTGCCGAACTCAGCGGCAGAGGGGCACAGTAGACTTGACTGTATCTAAGGGGAAGAAGCACTGATATTTTCACGTGACATCTTTCCCCAATTTTAGTGTCTTGATGAGGATTAAGTCACAACTCCGTATCCGGTAGAACATCGAGATCATGAAGCCTTGAGGCTGCTCCAGACGAACTTAGCGGCCGAAGAGCTGCATCAGGCAACTCGCACACCGTGTGTCGAAAGGGCTACGGCCGCTTCAGAACCTGAGCCAAACAGCATGCCATTCACCTTATTTCAAATTGGACTGATCCTTCTCACGCGGAGCAGTAGAGTCCATGAACAGAACGGCCTTCTTAGGTTAGTGTGAAATGCACACAAGCAGCATAATGTTACGGACCCTTTACTCAGCAAACTGCGGCTATTCGGGACTGGCTGCTTCATACTGAGCCTCTCTTGTAGGGAGGATCGGACATTGCTAATATCAGACAATTTGACAGCAAAAAGCAGCTCCGCAGGGGCGGGGAATACTGGCCCTGGAACTATCCGTCCCCTATCACTCAAATTCATGCAGATCTATTGTATTTATGGATGACTTATTTAAACTTGAAACGCAACTCTACAGTTTGTGAGGGTTTTGCTCACGCTGAGGCCCCCCTGTTTGTTGGGGCTTGACTTGTAAGTTGTGGTCCTTCGTGAAACAGCGTTTGTTCACACCAATTATTCTCCACTACCTAATATAAATGATAAAGATGAAATAAGTGGTAGAGCGAATTTACAATCTTCGGGCAACTTCTTGAGGCAAGCGGGTGGACTTGTCCATGTGACCACCATAAGAGAGTCCCTCAAGTGCAACTCTTAGCCCTAGAGGGTATTATGACGCGGGGAATCAAGGCGTATAACTGAATACAAACAAGCGGCGTTCCAACGCAGGGCTGAGACCCTTATCTAACAGTGAAGCTGCCACACCCTAGCCCTGTAAGGCCATTTAACGAGGAAGCTATGGAAGCCTCTTGAGTCGCAGCTAATAGAGGCCATAATGGGACATGCAGGGGTAGAGAGCGACAGTAATGACAGCCATGCAAACACCACCAACTTGCCGGTGTGGCTGATGCTCCAGCGCTGCCGAGGCTTCGGGTGGATGCACGGAAGGCAGTGGGGTTGCTTTGGCCTGATTGACTCTGGCCGCAACGCAGCGGTGTTTTCACGAGTTGTGTTGGTGGCAGGAGATGAAAGCCAGTCTTCAGACTCCGCAGATGCTTCTCCTGCTAGTAAAAAGTACACCGGTACCGCCAGTTCAAGTGGCGGCTTTGCGGCCTCCAGGAGGGGTCACGCAGAGGCTGGCGACGATGTGCTACGCATACTAGACAATGTGGCTCCTGTAGAGGTAGAAGCAGCGCCTGGAGATTGGAATGAAGGCGAGGGGTGGGAAGAACCCGCAAGCATGTTTGCTGCTCTCTTGCCTTCATCCGCCCCGACGGAACGCAACAGCATAGAAACGAAAGCCATTGAGGGGGAGTTTACAGTTATGCATAGGGTGAAGGAGGACCCGCCTTTGGGAGAAGACGGCGAAGAACTCCAGATCTGCTTCGGTAAGGCGTAAGGCAGCGCGGAGTGAACGCAAGTTGCTGCAGCGGTTGGCACATTGCATGCACAATCAAACAACAGAGGAAGATAGAGGCACATGCATGCATACATTAACGGGGGTTTTTGTATACAAACGTAAATATAATGCATCCCTTACTCAGCCCTTTTATCTGCAGATTTAGGTACCTCCGAGTCTCGCATTCATGTTGTTTCATTCTTGTTTGCAGGAGAGATGCTGTGGCACCCAACGCCGCCGCTGCTCATTGCGTGCCGTAGCCTTTGGGCAGCCCCTCAACGCATGCGTCTGACGAAGTCTGCTGGAGAATCAGGTCATGAGCCGCAAGCAGATGGGGAGAGCGCAGCACCAGCAGCAGCAGCAGCGCCAGTCCTCGTGCTTTCCGATATAGAGGAAGACGAACCTGTCTCGCAATCCACGGATTCCAAAGCCTTACCTTGTGCGTTTGTGGCTCTTGTAGCTGTTGCAGGTGCAAGGCAACAGCAACAGCTCTTAGACGGCACTAATGAACTCCCCCTTTCATTCGCCAAGGCGAAAGATAGGCTTTTGCTCCTGGTGCCGGTGCCTTTTTTGTGCCCACAGCGGTTGTTGGAGTATCCCGGGCTGTTGCACAGACTCTGAGAGCGACGCTGAGCGACAGAGAAGCTCTTAGCCGGATGGCCTCTGATACGTGAGACCATTTTAATCATTTGACTTTTGCTATCTTAGAACCTCTGGTTGCAGCTCTCATGTCTATTGAACTCTTTTCAAAAGTGAGGCGAAGTGATTTGTCGTGATATCTGCTTCTTCCTCAAAATGGTTTGTACGTTTCGTTCAGGGTTTCGGTTTCGCTTCAGTCGCTCCGCCAGATGCCGTCTACTTTGTCGAGGCTTTCAAGTGCGACCTCGGAGGTCTTCCACAGGTGCTGTTTCATATTTCGCACTTAGTGCACAAAGAAGGACAAACGGTTTCGTCAGTGTGTGTTCTGTAAAAGTGAATAGCACAGGTTCCAAATATCAGCTGATCTGGTGGTAGCTGATATACTTGCTTTTTGTGGAGCTGTGGCTGCGCCGACAGGGCTGCATCCGACTGGGCCACGTTCGGCAACGCAGCTCTCCAAGCAGCAGCGGACTCAGCTGAAAGAGCTCAAAGGGTTTGGAGGACGTTTAGGGGAAAAGGTAACAAGGCAGACGCTAACAAGGAGGGTGATAACAATACGTAGGAAATAACCTGCGGCTTATGGGAAATGAAGAGCTGCATTTCCTGCATTCATACATTCATTTTTCTAGACATGCGAAACATGCACAGTGAATGCCAGGCTACAACTGACCTGGCGGCGTAAGCAGGCGCTCTAGCGAACGCGGCAAGAAGCATTTGCAGCCTTGCCATATAGTCAACTTTTGCATGTTTAGTGGACTGTTGAAGTATGGCGAAAAGGGTTGCTGAGGCGACTCTCTTTCCTAAGAAGTCAGAGGCAGCTGGCGCCGTGTTTGATTCATACAGACACGCAGCGTGGCCTGAGGGGCCAATGCGTACACGCACCTTTGCTGCATTAAAAGAGCAGGTTTTTTTTCAACAATTTGGCCTCAACGCTTCACGTTTTGTGTGTCCTGCTGTCTAAGCCGAGCTGAATCATTATCTGCTGATGGATTCGATTGTGGCGTTAAGCAGCAGGGAACGCAGAAGCGGCTAGCGATGCTTTTACACTGAGTTGATGCGTTTGTGTTTGCGCCATCTGTTTCTAAATCAGCCGCAGTGATGCACTGTTTTAGGCTCCAGTAGCTATGTTGTTGAGTCAACGAAGGCTACTTACTGGTTTAGAACACGGCATCGTCTTGACAAGCTCTTCTTGTTCTTGAACTCACACCGTGTTTCAATCTAACGTCATTACCATTTCAGGTAGCCTTACATTTGCGAATATTTGTTGGCAGAGGCTTTAAGACACCTACGTAGTGTTAGAAGTCTAGCTAATCCCCGAAAGGTCCTAAGCTAACAGCCCAGTTCAGGGAGTGACACTACCAGCACGCTGCTAAGCAGATTAGTTCATTTCGTGCCACGCTGAAGACGCAGGACGTTCCGAGACACGCCACTTACGCAAGCTGCACAAAACAGGTAAAAGCCCAGTTGGAAGATTGTGTGAGTGCCTACACATGCTTAAATGTTACGTATGCTGGCATGCTGATACGCTCATGCATGCGTTCAAACGTGCTACGGTGCGCCGCGATTCCTCTAGGGGAGAGGTGTAAACGAGAAACTAGCCAGAATCTTTTGCGCTGAGCAGCAGCTGGCGAATGAAATTGTTTACTCGATGAAAAGGTGGAAGCGAGGCTGTAGACTTTACATGTAAAGCACGGCTGTAATTATTCTTGAATTATTTATTTCTTTTAACTTCAGGCGACGTTTGCCTGGCCCTGCGGACTCACAGGCTTTCATGCAGTAGTAGTTGTTTGCTCAAAAGCCTTAATAAGCTTTAGTGCGCTCAGCGACCGCGGACAAATTGGAATGAACGCAGTGGCAAGAAACAAGACTACGAAAAGTTGCGGCCCTGTACGTGAAATCATACGCTCCTCCCTAACAGTATATTTCTAACACCACACACAATCCTAGGCATGTAGTAAACAGCTCTACGAGGCTTTACACACCAAGATATTCAACAGGCGAAACATTCGTGAGGATGAGGCCCCTAAACAACGCAAGCTGCTTGAGTGTAATTCAGGGAAACTAAGACAGTCAGTGAGGAACAGCAAAGAGAATAGTGATAACGATACTAGGCCTGTGCTGCAAAGGGAATCAGAGCTCTACTGTTTCCTTGGCTTTCAATGCGGGTTGCGTTTCTGGCTCTTCAGTGGCGAGCTACTGGGCGAAACTTTGCATGCTTGGTTCCCAGTAGTTTCTTTTCCAAAACAACAGCTATTTTGCCTCTTTTTATCTTCAAGACAGATCAGTGTAGGGCTGGAATAGTTGCGTCGAAACATTTTTCACTTCATTCTGCCTGAGAGAGGCAGATGGGTCAGGCGGAGAGAGCCTGCGCTTAGAGTTCCAGGGATTTCTAGACAGCAGGCCCTGTACGTAAAGCTATTCTCTCCTGCCTAATAGTATATTTCTAACACCAAATGCAATCCTAGGTTTTGGAGTTCCTGGAAATGTATGGGAAGACGCTAGACATTAATGCAGCTAGTGAACGAAAGATACTCGCTACAGCGAGTAAAGTAACAGCGGCAAACTGACGCACAATTTTGCACTAGAAAGTATCTGGAAAAGATCTCTGAATGACCTCGCAATGGCGCGCTGCCCAAAATAGCTGTTGGCGAAAATGGAATGGCGGCGAGCAGCTGCCATTAGGCTACAATGCACCCTGGTATGGAGTTGCAAGTGCAAGTTACTTAGGCTGAACAGTTCAGTCTATACCTTCTGCGCATGCAAAGACATCTTGTTTTTTTTTTGTATTTAGACGCTGAGGGGCTGGCAGATCGGAGGTGGGACAGACAGGCTGGTGCACGACGGACTCCTTTGCCCATTCAAATTCTGAAAGCCTTTATTGACAGCAAGAGCCCCAATAAATAGGCCACCGACTTTGTGTGGCTAAAATCTGTTAGAAATGTGCCTCTTCGTAGCCAACGTATCGAAATTCTCTGGTGCTTGCCAGTGCCTGTCTAATAAGCCTGTCTAATACGCTTTGTGACTATAGACTTCGATCAGCCCTCATTTTAGGTTTGTAGCGCCTGTCTGGTATGAATTTTAGCTACAGATCCTGGTAAGCACTATCTGCGAGCATCATGAGCTGCCCACTTCCCCCCTCGAATCGCCCCATCACCCCGAACGTGCGATTGAAGAAACGCGGTGCCTCAAGCTCCCCAGTAAGAGTGCCAAGTTAGCGCTGAGCACTTTATTAACCTTGGTGCAAACGAGGGAGCTTCAAGGGCACGATACTAGAACTTTGCAGCGCATTGCAGAAGCGTCACTGCAGCGTCTGGTGGCAAAACCTGCCTTTAACAGGAAGGACTTAGCTTGTATCAGTCTGAAAAGAATCCAGGTCTCTTAGTTAGCGTAGTTCGCCATTGTTAACATATTCGTAGGATGAATGAGGCTTTAATCTCAGTTTGCACGTAGGGTGATGCGCGTGGTGGTAGTGAGAAGCGACACCGGCCACTACCTGTAAGGGGCCAGTAGTGTTGAGCTACAGAAAACACCATATTCCGCCCATAATCACCACAAATATGGGTTATGATTAATTTTAAAACAAGATGAGCTTTGGTATAATTCATTTGTCCTTCCGCTTCGATGCCAGCATTGCGCACTACCCCACGTGGCGGTGGCCCAGAAAGGATCTGGCAAAACGTTTAGAGTTCACTGGGTCTTTTTGCATTTGGATGTTCTGATAAACGGAATTATGATAATTTATAAATTGAAAGTGGTAATTGAGCGGAAATAAATTTGTTATGGGCCATTTTTTTAGAACGTGCCGCATGCTGGTGCCGTCGCTCACGAACGTGCTGTGAGCTGACCGTTGTGGTTGCCTGAGAAAGCCACGGGAACTGTAAACACACCTGGGACAAAGACGGCTTCCACATCCACATCTGTTTTTTCTGCGTCTTTTTTCTTTTTTTAATTCAGAGTTTTTAATCTGGTCGACTTTTTACCGCGAATTTAAGGTGGCCCGCGCGGTGTTTAGGCGCGGCGTAGGAAATCGAGCTGTGGGGCACAGCAACAAGCACTCCTACGACGAAAACAAGTAGCGGCGGTCTGTAGAAAATTCTGATCTTGCATTTCAAGTTCCTGTCAAGGGTATGTCTGTGGACGGGCACAAAGAGGCCGTGGAGGCCGCCTCTCGGGGCACTTCCTCACCGAAGCCTGATGTGGCCTCTACGGCGATCGACGTGCCCGCGAAGGGCAGCGAAGACTCTGCAAAAGCGGTTTCTGCGGGGGGAAAGGTTGTAATATCTCGTTGCGAGTGGTGGGCGACGACGACAGCCTTTTTCTTTCTGGGGATGAGCTCGCTGTTCGCGTGGAACAACGTGTTGTACCTGCTGCCGTACATGACGGAGCAGTTTCTGGACGGGTGGGACGCGGGAAACTCGCTTTTGGGGGTGTTTCAGGTGGGGAATTTGGCGGTGCAGGTGTTTTTGATGTTTGCGGGGTCCCTGAAGGAGATTTGGCTGCACCTGGGGCTGTTTCTGGGCTCGGTGATGTGCGGCGTGCTGGGCCCGTGCGTGATCTACGGGCCCCTGAACACCCGCATAGCCCTGCTGCATGCGCTGTGCCTGGTGCTGGGGAGCGGCAGCGGCCTCGTGCAGGGCAGCGGCTTCTCCTACGGGGCCGTAATGCCCGTGAACCAGGTGGGGGTGTACAGCGCGGGCCAGGGCTTCGGGGCGATCTTCTCGGTGGTGCTTGTGGGCATTTTGTCTTACACCGCAGTGGACATCACTGTGCGCGAAGACGTGGCCACGCTGGTGAACGCCACTGCTGCTGTCAGTGCTGCAGTTGGCCTCGTGTGCATCCTGTTGATGGCCCTGAGCATTCGGCAGCCGGGGGCGCGGCTGGCGGTGTCTCAGGCGCGCGCAGAGAGTTCTCCGGAGAAGGTGGCGAGGAGCAGCAGCGGCTGCACGGAGCTGCAGGAGGTGGCCTCGGTGGCTGCTGCTGCTGCTGCTGCGCCGGCGGAGAAGCGCAGGCCCCTGTGCACCGTGCTGCGGCACTCGGGCGTGCCCATTGCCTGCGTCTTCGCCCTGTTCTTCGTCACCTGCAACCTCTTCCCCAGAGTGGGGCCCCTCCAGTGGGCCACCGAGGGGGCCCCCAAGAACCACCTGGTGTGGCTGCTGGGCGTTTTCCCCTTCGGCGACACGCTGGGCAAGTCCCTCTGCGCCTACGCAGAACAGGGGCGTTTCTTGAAAGGCTTAATTTTGTTTTCGCCGCGGCTGCTGCCGTGGCTGACTGCGCTGCGCTTCGCGCTCTACGCCCCGTTCTTCCTCAGCAAGCACCTCGCGGGCAGCGCGGTCTTCAACGCTTTCTGGTTCCAGCTTTTCGAAATGGTGCTGTTGTCCGTTTCCCACGGCTGGTTCGCCACGCTGGCCTTCATCTACAGCGTCGACGCTGTCCCGAACGTGGCCGACAAGAAACACGTGGGGCCTGTCGCGATCGTCAGCCTGATCCTGGGGATCATGTCTGGCCTGTACTTCGCGCTGCTGTACAAGTGACCTCCCGCTGCGCGCGCCGCGCTGCAGCTCGTAGCGGCGCTTCCGAGGCCTTCAGTTCCTTCCAAGTTCTCTTTTCTGCTGCATTTGTGTTCTATTTGTCAAGCAGCCATGCTGTGTCGTTCCGGCGTAGTACAGCGCCTGCACGCCGTCGGCGAGCTTCCCAGGCCAGCAGCCTCTGCGCGGCCGCGCTGGCCATCGGGTGTCAGTCTTACAATGTCAGGTGCGAAAAATTCGCCTTGTAAGTTGAGTGGTGGACATTTGGCATGGGGCGAGGCACTGCATGCATCGTTGCGCCGTACGGCTTGCTGGGGGTCTTGCCGTGCACCTCATTGTTGTCGGTCAGTCTTGACTGCATGAATCGCTGCGTAGGTTCCAGAAAACACCTCCAGCAAGTTAGATAGATAGCTATGAAGCCAAAGTGTCCTCAACAGGCATATGCGGCTGTGACGTTTCCACAGTCCGGGGGTACACTGCTCACGTTCAATTTCATGTGTTGGGCAGCCCGCGCCTATTGTAAATACCCGTTTCGAGGATTTTGAAACTACATTCCTACAGTCGGATACATTTGACCTTTTGCCTCATGCTGGACAAGTGAAACGAAACAAAGTTTTTCTTTTCCATCTAGCTAGCAGCAGGCACGTGCCTCTGCCAGCGAACAGCAAAGCAGAAAGCAGCCCCACTGAGGGCGCACTTTGCTTGAATGCGTGTTCTGCAGCTCCTCAGATGCCTAATATCTAGCCGCAGATTGCCGCAGATTGCCGCAGTTACGTGTAGTCATGTGTAGCAGCGGAGTGCTGCAGCTCCGTGTAGTCACACGGCGAGGGCTTTTTTCGCTTCGTCGCTCAGAACGCACAGATGAGGCACTTCCCGAAAGCGATCGTTGTAGTCTATTCCGTACCCGACAAACCACTCCGTAGGTCCTGTAAATCCGAAGTCCACCAGAGGCATCTTTTCCTTGACTCTGCAGAAATAGAACAACGGATCGCGCCAAGAGGGCGGTCTATCCCACACAGGGGGCTGTGCAGCATTCGAAAGCAGCGCTGTGGTCCTGCAGATCTTGTTTGAAACTCGACGGCCCAGGGCCCACCTGACTTGCAAAAGGCCAACAGTGCGCACGCTTTTGGGCTCGAACTGGGCCAGCCACTCCCGGACATGTCTGTAGGTGTTTCCGCTTTCCACAACGTCGTCAACAATGAGCACGTCTTTGCCCTTCAGGCATGTCAGCTTGTCTGCGACGAACTTCACCTGAGTTAAGCAGCATTTGACCCGGCAAAAGGGTCAAGAAATGCATTAAATTGCATTTTGCGGCCCCCAGAACAGAACTTGCTTAACCCTAGAGCGTGCAATTTGGGCTTAAGGGTTCAGAATTTCGGGTTTGGCACTGGGGCTGCAGGCGCGGGATTACGCACAGAAACTGCTTCTCGCTTCATCTAGTGAAGCCTCACCTGCCCAGTTGCTGCGCAGTTTCGGTAAGTGCTGATTTGCACGTAGTGGTGAAAGAGCTCGAGGCTGCGGCCACTGCTCTCTAGGCTAAGAGGAAAGCGCAGCCGCAGGGAAAAATGTGACTCTTAGCCCGCTAGCTACAGAAAAAATAGAGAAACAATGCTAAAGAGAAGAACAAAATGCAAAACAAGCCGATGAAAATTGTTTTGTTTCCCCCCGGGTTTGAATTGTTCAAAAAAATAACACAGTAACTCGCAAGAGAGCCGACCTCCCTTGCTTGAAAATGGAGGCGCTGAGGTCGCCGAAGAAGGTACGAGCGCCCTTCAAAAGGCAAAGCAAGTGGAGCTCGCCTTCCTTATAGTGTTTGCGAATGTCGTAGGCCTGAAGGAAACAAAAAAAGATTCAACACACCGGCCTCGGAGACAGGAGAGCTACTCTCAGGCTGCTGACTGAAGTAAATACAATTACAAAAGCCTGAAAAAAGGACCTCAAATGAGTCTGAACAGATTTTGCTGAATCCACGTTTACAGAAACTTCTGAAACATGCTCTTACCATCTTCTCTATTCTGTCGCGCAACAGCCCCTGCGGAATGAGAATGCCTTTTACATGTCCGGCGCAGGTAGAAGGAATGCATATTTGGTCGGCGGTGTACAAATGGCCATCTTGGACTTCAATTGGGTCACTCCCGAGTTGCTTTTCGCTGAAGCTGAAGAGAAACACAACAGGCTTTCTGGGTTCTTCCTGTCGATTTCGAAAAGGACTCTATTCGCGGGCACATTTTGGCTTCACAGACACCACAAAAGCTGCCTTTCACCCTCACAGCAGGAGAAATAAGCTGAGGCTGCACCAATTTCACAAATTGCTGCAGTGCCACATGCAGCAGCGTGCGCAGCGTTGGGCAAGCAACTCACCTCGACATCTTCGGGAAAGCCCGGGGAACTTTTTTGCAAAAGAGGCTCCCCCAAAAGATGCACAATCTTAAAGTGTTTGGCTGCGAACTCGGGCCGGAGAAGCCCGAATTTGCAGGGCAATTGGAGGCGCAGTTTCACTCGGCCTTTGAATTTCCCCGCTGGCGAATAGTGCGTTGCAACGCGCTCAAAAAGCACGCCCACGCCAGCGTAACTTCAAGAGTTGATAATACTCTGTCTTGCTAAATCCAGACACATTAAACTGCTACTGTCAGGCGAGCAGCAGCCCCTATTTTAAAGCGTGCAAAGACCCAACTGCATTTGGTCTGGTCCACCCACAAGCCACTGCACGTCAAGAACCTGCAGCAAACCGCCCCCCATCTGTGCCATAAAGCCTCGAAATTGAATATAGCCGGTGCCTAGACTATTTAGATTCAATTTAATTGGTATTTGCAGGGAAAATTATACTGGGGGGCTCTCCTGGCGTGGGAGTCGCTCTCCTGAAGCCGCGGAACACAGCGTTCAAATTAAGCAGCAACGCGTCAGCCATTTAACCACAGCAGCAGAGAGCATGCGGGCAGATAAGGCAAAATTTTTTTGATTTCTTGTTGTAGTTTCTTCTAATTCACAGCAGCGATGTGCTGCGGCCCCCAAAAGTGACCTTGGAAGCCTCTAGACGCAGTGTCTTGCAGTATTTTATACTACGCGCTGTAAGAGCGTGTGCCCAGCTAACACCGCGGCTTAACGCTCTTCAATTCATTTCAATTCATTTAATTTCTCAAAGAGGAGCTGTGGCAGAAGGCCTGAGTCCACAGCGGAGCTGTTCAGCCAAACCCACGAAAACCTCTCCCACTAGTTCTCTGCACATTCATGTTTCCGGTTTGAGAAGGCTTGCTCCCTGTCGCCTGTCTGCATTTTTCAACTTTAAAACACTTGCGCTGACTTCCAAGACAAAGGGAAATCTTTATTTAATTCTGAAACACTTGCTCTGACTTCGAAGACAAAAGGAAACCTTCCTTTTGCCTGCAGCAGATCACACTCCCTGTGGCCACAGCCACCAGAACCAGTGACTGAGACCAGCCGATCTGACGCGAATGGACCACACCACTGGTCCTTTGCCTTTTCCCAGTCACCAGCGAACACCAGCTGACCATTCAATAAATGAAAAGGGGCATTTTTGTGGGCTCTTGCCTCCAACAGTCCCGCGGGGGAAGCAGCAGTGTGCAGCTGTTCGGGCTGCTGGTTCTTATCAGCTTTTGTGCAGCCTAGAGAGGCCATTCTTGTGTAGATCTGCAGCTACTATTTAATTACTATTGCTGCTGCTGCAAATGACTTGCTGCGAGCTACTGACTTATTTAATTGCTGCTGCTGCTGCTGCTGCTGCACCTCATCTGCTGCGAGCGTAGACCTAAAGGGCACGAGTTCAAAAGGCTGCAAGGCAGCTTCCTGCATGCCCCAGAAACACGGCTTGGCGACTTTGGCAAAGAAACCCACGAGCCCGCCCGCGCTGCTGCTACTGCTGCTGCTGCTGCTGCTGTGGCTAGTCAGCAGCAAGTGCAGCCGCGCCATGGGCTCACGCCTGTCTCTGCCCGCACAAAGTGCAAACAAAATAAATTAATGAGTGAACAGTGTCGGCGCTCTGCAGACGGGCGCGTAGCAGGTGTGTCTGTACACCCGAAATGCAAATGCTGCTCGCAATGCATGCAATTTTGACAGCTTCTGAATGCATGCAATTCTGGCTTCTGAGTGCATGCAATTCTGGCTTCTGACTGCATGCAATTACGGCTTCGAATGCATGCAATTATGAGAGCTTCTGAGACAGAGTTGCATTTAACAATCCCGCTTCCTGCAGAGTGGCACTTCGGGCCGCCGAGAGCGGCCTGGGGGGAAAGCCCTCTAGCAAAGAGAAGCCTCCAGGCGCGGGGGCCACCCTGCAGCAGCAGCAGCAGCAGCAGCAGCTTCCTACGAAGCAAACATTAAATGCGTTCTCCTCTAGGCCGTTGTGGGGCACGCAAATGGAATTTAAGTGCTGAAGTGGAACTTAAATGCCGAATTCCAGTTCTGCAAAGAGCTGCGGTGGCAGCCTCCAGGTGTACATACACTGCGCGAAGCCGAAAGCAACTTGCCTTTCAACAAAGTCAAAGAGCTGCTGCACTGTTGCACTTGTGGGGAAGTGCTGCGCAGTTCTTTGGCCATCATGAAAGCGAAACAAAATCTGCGTCCTGGGAGCCGAGGGGTCCGCTGGGGCTGCTGCTGCTGCTGCTGCTGCAGCAAGCGACACGTCCACTGCAGCAGCAGCAGCAGCACCCGCCGGGTGGTTCGGCGAAGTCCGGTCCCCCGAAAGGCTCTGCCCTTCGCCTCCAAACAGCACATACTGCAAAGCCGCACAGCCACAGGCACCAGCACATTTCAAAGGACCAGCAGCAGCAGCAGCAGCAGCAAAAGCAGCAGCAGCAGCAGCACTGCAGCAGCAGTATTACGGCGGCAGCACTGCAGCAGCAGCGCTGCAGCAGCAGCACTGCGACAGCAGCAGCACTGCAGCAGCGGCACTCCAGCAGCAGCACAGCAGCAGCAGCAGCACAGCAGCAGCAGCAGCACAGCAGCAGCAGCAGCACAGCAGCAACAGCAGCAGCAGCGGCCCACCTGGGGAGGGGCGGGGGGAGTGTAGGTTTCCTCGTGGCGGTCGTCGAGCAGCACATGGACTTGGCGGCCTCCTTGCTGCAGTTCTCTGGGCGCCACTCTGCAGGCGCAGCAGCAGCGCCGGTGTCTCTACACTTGGGGCGGCGCCCGCAGCAGCGGCAGCAGCAGCAGCAGCGGCAGCAGCAGGAGCAGCAGCCGGAGCAGCGGCAGGAGCAGCAGCAGGAGCAGCAGCAGCAGCAGCAGCAGCAGCTGCAGCAGCAGCAGCAGCAGCAGGGACTTACCCTGCCTTGAGTTCCTGGACGAAGTGGTCGTTTTCTTCAACTCCGAAAGGCCGGAATTCTCCTTCGTCAACTCGAAATCCATTTTTGTAAATGGAGACTCGACGGGCCCCCGGAGGTGCTGCCCCCACGCTGCAGCAGCAGCAGCACAGCAGCAGCGCAGCAGCAGCAGCAGCAGCGAGGCTCAGGTGTACGCACAGCCCAGTTCGGGGTTGCACAGGCGCAGCAGCAAACGCCAGCAGGGCTGCGCGCGACAAAGCCCGCTGCAGCCTCAGCAGCAGCAAACTCCACACGCGCTGCTGCAGCTGCAGCAGCAGCTGCAGCAGCAGCTGCAGCAGCAGCAGCTCGGGAAGACCCACGTGGCGTTGGGGAAGGCTGACGAGGGATTCTGAATGGCCAGGCCGGACCTCTCGCCCCCCGAAAAGGAATTTGTTGCTCCATTTTCGTTTGGAGAATCTTCTCCGGACCCCCGGAGGTCCGCGAGGGACCTGCATGCAGCAGCAGCAGCGCAGCAGCAGCCAGGTGTACGTACACCCCGCAGCAGCAGCAGCAGAACGCTGCGAGCGGCGTCCAAAACCGCACAAAACTGCCCAAGTGGGCCACTGGACCACTGCCAAGCACGCCGCCGCGCCCGTGCAGCAGCAGCAGCAGCAGCAGCAACGGGAAGCTGAAGCGCCCTGCAGGTGCAGCTGTGCGGGCACCCGCATCAGCTGCTACAGGGGGCTGTCGGCTGCAGCGGGAGGCGCTGCAGGGAGCCGCAGCAGCTGCTGCTGCTGCTGCGGGCCCCCAGGAGAGACCCAGCCAGCCGCGCGCCACACAAAGAACGCAGCAGCTTTCCACAAACTCGCCTGATAGCCATGGCTCGTACGCGGAGAAGGGAAGCAGCGGCGGCACCAGCAGCAGCAGCAGCAGCAGCAGCAGCAGACGGTCCTGCGGTGGCGGAGGAACGCGGGGGCTCTCGCTCGAGTCTGCCGCGTAAAGGTATTTATTTCGAAAGAAAATTATTGTGCAAAGACTCTCAGCAAATGCAAAAGCAAAGAAACTTCAACACTTGGGGTGTCACGACGCTCGGCGCTGCCCTGGGGGCCCCTCGTCGCCTGCCGCCTGCAGCCCGCCACAAGTCCTACTTCTTCTTCCCTGAAGTAATAAAAGGCAACTGGGGCTTTTAGAGTTTCTTTATTTTCATTTATTGGCTCCAAATTGTTCCCAAAGTTCTAAATAAACGCCCCCGAGCGCAGCGCAGCAGCAGCAAAGGCCGTCATACTGCTGCGGCTCAGCAACAGCAGCAGACAACTGGCAGCACGGCTGCCAGGGTTAGAAGAGGGTCTTCCGCAACTTGGATTGTCCGTTTTGAATTAAATTTCGAAAATAATTGCCATTTGATTGTTTAAATAGAGCGAAGAAGGGCCCCCAAGCCGGCTCTGGCCCGCGCGCGCTGCTGCTGGTGGGGGCCCCTTCTCTGCTGGTGCCGGCGCCTGCAGCCCTCCTTCTGCTGCAGCCACCTGCAGCCAGCTGCTGCCAGTTGCTGCCAGCTGCTGCAGCAGCAGCCAGCTGCTGCTGCGCCGCATGCATGCATGCAGGGGGGCCCCCAGACTTGAGATTATCCCCTGCTGCTCATGTCGGAGGCCTTCAGCAGCGCCGTGCGCCTCGGGGGCCTCGACGACTACCTCAGCCCCGCCCAGGAATGTGTGCTGCCGCTGCTGCAGCAAAGCAGCAGCACGGAGAGCCCGGGGGGCAGCGGGGACGCAGCAGCAGCTGCCAGTGCCCCTGCTGCTGCTGCTGCTGCTGCGGGCGCGGTGGCGGCCCGGCCCCGCCGCCGCAGAGCCCAGCAGCGAACAGCAGCAGCCGCGAGTGAAGAGGCAGCAGCAGCAAGTCAAGAGGCAGCAGCGGCAGGGAGAAAGGCAGCAGCAGCTACGGACGCTTCGCAAGCTGCAGCAGGAGCAGCAGCAGGAGCAGCAGCTGCTGCAGACAGCTTGTCTCCCGCGCCCGCCGCCGCAGCTGCTGCAGCCGGCGCAGCGGCTGCAGCAGCAGGCAGCGCAGCAGCCCCCGCAGCGGCAGCAGCAGCAGCGGCGCCGCAAGCTGCTGAGGGCCTCACCCGCGTGGGCAAAATATCTCTCTCCGACTGCCTTAGCTGCAGCGGCTGCTTAACTGCAGCAGAAGGAATTCTTTTGGGTCATCAGTCAGCAGAGCAGCTCTTCGCGCTGCTGTCGCAGCAGCAGCAGCAGCAGCAGCAGATGCAGCAGGTGCAGCAGGTGCAGCAGCAGATGCAGCAGGTGAAGCAGCAGGTGCAGCAGCAGGTGCAGCAGCAGGTGCGGCAGGAGGTGCAGCAGCAGATGGAGCAGGTGCAGCAGCAGGCGCAGCAGGTGCAGCAGCAGCCGCTCCTGCTGCTGCTGCTGCTGCTGCAGGCCCGCGCGTGGTGTGTGTGTCGCTGAGCACGCAGTCTGTTGCTGCAGTGGCGCAGCACTTCGGCTGCTCCGCAGCAGCTGCTGCTGGGCGGCTGTCTTTTCTCTTTCGGCTCTTGGGCGCAGACTTTGTCTTCTCAGCAGCAGCAGCAGAAGCTCTGACTCTCCTGGAGGCCCACAAGGAGCTCGCAGGCAGACTCCGCAGCCACCAGGCCCTCCTCGAGGAACGCAGAGCAGCAGCAGCAGCAGGGGCTGCAGCAGGGGCAGCAGCAGGCGATGCAGCAGAAGCTGCAGCAGGGGCTGCAGCGGGGGCTGCAGCAGCACCAGCACCAGCAGCAGCAGCACCAGCAGCAGCAGCAGCAGCAGCAGGAGCAGCAGCAGCGGGTTTGGCGTTGCTGCTGCCGAGCTCTGGGCCGCTGCCCCTGTTGACTTCGTTTTGCCCAGGCCTTGTGCTGTACGCAGAGAAGAGTCTGCAGCAGCAGCTGCTGCTGCTGCTGTCTCGAGTCCGCAGCGCGCAGCAAATCCAGGGGCTGCTGTGCAAGTCGGCCTTCAGGGGGGCCCTGGAAGCAGCTTCCTTCTCCCTGGCCCTCAAGGCCTACGCCTGGCGCGGCGGCGCTGCTGCTGCTGCTGCTGCTGCGC